AACTTTGGCATATCCAGAAAAACCTATCTCACTGACATATGCAACTGTACGGCCAGTGAAATTCCACTGAGCCCTAGCGATTGAATATCGAACAAAATCATCAATCCTCGTCAATGTCAAGGACAACCAACGCGCATCAGTTAATCGTACGCCATGGACTGGCCCATGCGGCAGTGGTCTTACCTTCGCTTGTATCTACTTTAACTAATATATTTCTGTAATAACGTCCTCTGTGTTGTACAGTCTTCAAAGCATCTATAGTACCTTGATACGTCAATCGGATAATCCATGTAAGATGCAGACCGCGAAGTGTGACTTCGACGTTAGCTAGTTTGTCACACCACTCACGTCTAACTCGAGTAAGCCTCCAATCATTTCGACATAGATCATCCACGCTGGTGATCTACACAACTATTAAGGAGTTATTATTAAATCATGTAAAGTGCACTAGTTTTGAATGTTGTGAAAGAGCAAAATTTCATATGATGATTCGTCGAAATGGCCAAAATGTTATGGAATTCATTCTTGAATTGCAGAAACATGCTGCCAAATGTAATTTCCGTGATTAACTTCATGTGCAACTGAGAGACATATTAATCGCAGGAATTAACATACCGGGTTTGGAAAGAGAGCTGTTAAAAATGCCCAACTGTTCCTTTCAAGATGCTAGAACTGCGTGTATTAACTACGAGGCAGTGAATGAATTTGATATCCAGTCGATGAATATTTCTAATACTTTGCTTAGTTGTCATAATGGAATACAATCTCAGGGTCAATCAAAATTGCGTTCGTTTAACAGTGGCTCCTATTCTCCTGTAAATATGAAAGCTGATTCAACAATGAATTACAAAGCAAATCACAAAGGTGAGACCAAGTTTGGCAAATGTTTATCATGTGGAAAACTTCATTCTCGTAATTCATGTGCATTTCGTAATGCTAAATGTTTTAGATGTGGTAAGATAGGACACATTCAAACAGTATGCAAAGCTACTATTCATTTTGCCTCAAGTAGTAATAAATCTTGTAATTTAGATCCCAATAATTCAGCTGTTCCTAATGATGATTTATCTTTGTCTACCATTTCGCAAGGTAATACTCATATTCAAAAGTGATTATATACATCGCTTGTTTCATGTCATGACTTTATTGTGGACACAGGCAGTATAGAGTCCATTATTTCACCCAAGAACTTGAAATCTTTAGATCCTAACGTTGTGGTACAACCCACTGAGGTATCAATATTGAGGATTACTGGACACAGACTGCCTATACGAGGATGTTGTGAGTTGCTAATAAGAGATGATAATTCTTCATACATACCTTGTGAATTTTTAGTTAGCGAAACAGGACTGTCAATACTGGGCTTAAAGAATTTGAAAAGGCTTAAAGTGGAGCTATCTTTCCTAGTTTCTAAAGAAAACTCTGATGCTTTACTTAAAGATTTGATAGCCACGTGTTCTAAGTGCAGTGGAAGTATGAAAATTCAGCCTATAAAACTTCAAGTACAGGGTAATCCAGTCTTTCTTAAAAGACGAATAATTCCTTATGGTCTTCGAGATGCAGTACATAAGTCAATAAACGATTTGTGTGCAAAAGGCATAATTGAACCGGTTCAGTCTTCAGCATGGGGTACTTCCATTGTTACGCCACTGAAATCGGACGGCAAGACTCCTATAATATTTGTGTTGACTATAGATTAACATTGAACTCCCGTTTGTTGAAGCGAACATGCACGACGGTAGAGGCTGAAGATATTCTAAATCGACTCTATGTTCTTAAGTGTTCTCGAAAGTTTACCTAAAAGATGCTTATCTTCAAATCCCTTTAGATCAATCCTCATCTATTTTGACGACAATTAACACTCCTTATGGTCTGTTCAAATACAATTCCTTTCATTTGGTCTAAGTTTTTCTCCAGCCATATTTCAGGAAGTTATGAATAAGGTGGCTAGTGATCTTGAAGTTTTTCAAGATGATCTCATTGTTCATGGTTCTGATAAGGTAGTTCATGACCAGAGACTTATTGCCTTGTTGCGTCGTTTAATTGAGAATATTACAGTTAATCCAAATAAGTGTTCATTTTGTTTATCTAGTTTTGAATGTCTTGGATACCTAGTTGATGGTAATGGTTTTAGACTAGAAATGAAACGACTAGTTCCACTGACAAATGCACCGTCTCCAAAAAATCTTACGGAGCTACGTTCACTAGTGGGTGCTCTTCAATACTATTCCCGTTTTATTCCTAATTTTTCTTGTTGTGCAAATTGTTTATTTAATATTTTGACATCTAATTCATTTAAATAGGGTGAGGAACAAGATTCATGCTTACGTAGTCTACTAAAGTTTCTTCAAAGTGATGCTGTTCTTCGAACTTAATCCCCTAGTGTACAGTCTGTGCTTATCACTAATGCATCACCTGTGGGTATTGGCGCAGTTTTGGAACAGGAGGGTAGACCAGTTATTTGTGTTTCACGCAAACTTACTGTTACTGAACAAGGTTATTCACAGACTCAGCGAGAAGCATTAGCTGTGTTTTGGGCTGTCAAAAGACTTCATAAATATTTATTCGGAAAGAAATTCACTATTGTTACTGATCATGAGGCTTTAAAGTTTATTTATCATCCTGAAAAATCCTTAGCACGTTCCTCAGCTGCTATGGTTCAACGATGGAGTATTGCTTTGAGTGCCTATGACTATACGGTTCAGCACAGGAGTGCCAAACAAGTTCAACATGTTGGCTACATTTCTCGACAGTCATTACAAGATAAACCTGTAAATACTTCAGACTGTTTGTTAGTGCAACCTTTACCAGTGAAACGTCCAGATCTCATTAGAGAAACTCGCAGATTCTTTGGATGTATAATTAATACTATACGGAAAGGTTTGAATGCTAATCTGAAACGTAGATTTCCTGTCTATTTTTCAAAGCGAGATGAGCTATCCACTACTCCTGATGGTATTTTGTGTTTAAATGATCGTGTTGTTATTCCTTTTTCATTGCGTAAATCTGCTCTTGAAGATCTTCATAGTGGGCATTTGGATGTTGAGAAAATGAATTCATTGGCGAGGCTCACATGTTGGTGGCCAGAGATAAATGCACATATTTGTCGTACAGCAAACAATTGTGAAAAGTGTCTTAAGCTGAAAAATCAGCATTCGAAGTGGACTCCATGGCCAGTATCGTCTGAGGCCTAGCAGAGAATTCATGCAGACTATTGTGGTCCATTTCTTGGCAAATACTATGCGCTTGTAGTTATTGATTCTTTTTCAAAGTGGCCTGAAGTTTTTTTCACAACTTCACCAAATTCTGACTTCACAATTCAAGCATTAAGAAAGGTGTTTAGTCGAGAAGGGGTTCCCATGATGTTAGTGACTGATAACGGCTCTTATTTTGCTGCAGATGCAGTCACTACCTGGTTAAATGGTATAGGGTGCAAACATCTGTTTACTGCTCCCAGACATCTTTGTTCCAATGGTCAGGCAGAAAATTTTGTCAGGACGTTAAAAACTGCTATCGATTCTATTGCCGCCTCAACATTTAATGAGCTGGAGAGGGGAGTAGATACCTTTCCACTGCAATATAGAAATGCCAGACATTCGGTGACGAAAGAGACTCCATCAAAGCTATTAAAAGGAAGAATTCTTCGGTCGAATATGAGATGTTTGGATTCTGCAGAAGTTACATATTATCGTGGCAATGATCTTCGACCATCCACGGGGATTGTTCTGAAGAATGTCGGGAAATCTATGGTGCGACTTCTAGATATCAATGACTTAATACAGAGTCCTTATCCAGTACACTGTCGGACGGACATAGGATTAACTTGAGAAGAAGACGTACAATTGAGTATAGACACTTGGACTCCAATTTAAGCTGTGGCGGATGTGGTGTTTGAATGAACTAATAACTCCTTCGTACTTGTTGAATGCCTGATTTCAAATTCTAAATACAGTACATTCGTTCGTGCTTATCTAGTAGTTCTTGATCGACTTACGTTATTTTTGGGATTATTAGTTCATACTATAATTCAATTACTCCTAATTATCATATGGACAGTATGGTTTCAGTGACTGAGGATAACCTTGTTCTTCTATTCTATACACACAAACAAATATAGATGAAGACAACTAGTGTAGAATCAGCCACTGCATCAGAAGGCCTCAACATGCACACGGAAAAAGTATGATCATCAAATGCAACACGGAGAACACCAGCCCAATCACACTTGATGGCGAAACTCTGGAAGTGTTATCCTTCACGTACCTGGGAAGCATCATCGATGAACAAAGAGGATCGGGTGCAGGGGTCGAGACAAGAATTGGCAAAGTAAAAGGCCGCATTCCTACGTTTGAAGAACATGTGAAAATCAAAACAACTTTCAAACAATATCAAAGTCAAAATTTTCTATACGAACGTCAAGACTGTTTTACCGTATGGAGCTGAAACTTGGAGAACCACGCTAGATATTCAATATCCTTTGACCGGAAACAATTAGCAACAGCCCACTGTGAAAGACGACAGACCAGCTTCCAGATGACATTGGAAGTGGATATGACATACATTACGGAGATCACCAAACTGCAAGCGCTTATCTGGAACGGGAAACGGAAAATAGAAAGACTAAGCCTTTGTGTTTAGAAATCAGTGACCGTACTTACCATTGAAATAAGTGAATCTCTTGAAAGTTGCTGATTTGATGGACCCGACTGATTTACTTACAAAAAAGCAGTGATTACATTAAATCGAATACCAGTTATATCGCCTTTAAATGTCTGGTTTTCTTCTCTACTAGGACAATTTATATTTATTGCTACTTCCTGTTTTGAGGTTAACGTCATCAGTTTGTACCTCGTGATCAAACAAGACATCAGTTAAACTTTCCGCATTAAAGTAAAAGGTTATTAGTTCCTTCAATCTTCGCGATTAAAATTGGGCATTGAAATAAATCTTCCTCGTAGTTAGTTTAGATTACAGATACGGCGCATTTTTAATTTGTTGTAATGAGTTCATGTGGTAGAGCAACAAAAGACTTTTTTATAAGCCTCAGCAGGAAAAAGGTAATTGGCAAAAGGGAGTCGTCAAAGGTCGAGTTACGAAGATGCCTAACTATCTTTGATCTTACTGCTTTAGGTATTATATATAGCTTCTGCAACATACTTGTATCATAGGAGTTGGAACAACTTTAGGTGCTGGAGTGTACATTCTTGTTGGCGACGTTGCCAAGTTCACAGCTGGTCCTGGGGTTATAATATCTTTTTTAATCGCAGCGGTGGCTTCTGTTTTATCAGGTAGTTATCCACGTAATTGGTGAACCCCTACGATCATGACCATGTTGTTCATCCGCGTTTTTTTAAATATGCACTAAAATGTTCATCTTTAATTTTTATCTTTTACTTTTAAAAAAATGCTAAATGGTTTCTTGCCTTTGGTGTCACATCATGCCAGATTTTCAGACTTCATAGCAAATTATTTTTAGATATGCTTACATTTTTAGCATAATCGAATAAACCCCTCTAGGTTTTTTGTTTTCTTAGTCATTATAAAGGCAATTTGTTGGAATTTACTGAACGTGATATCATCGCTTCAAAAAAATCCGTCCACTACAGATAAATAATACAAGCATTATTAAATGAATCGGTCATATATGCTACAAAAACTAATAATTACTTTCTCCAGAATCCAGAGGTTCGTTTTAAGTCAACCCCACTCAAGCCTATATTTTTTCAAGTGCCTTAATCAAAGAATTGCTAGTGATGTTTTGAATTACGTGAAATGACATTTCCACTGTTTTTATCATATGGTATCTATGAAACGGAAAATGTGATGTTCACTGAGTAATACGCATACTCTAGGAGTAGTAAAATCACTATCTGACGAACGTTCTAGCTGTTTTATAATTTTTAGGATTTAAACCTTTAGAGGCAGTTGCTTGAAGCATCTGCTTTATGTCAGCTAAGAGAAAATGGTCTTGCTAAGTTAACTTCGTAATTAGTTCATAAGTTTTAAGTAGTTATTTTTTGTTCATCTGATTTTTAACCAAAAGTACAATACATGATTTGTTGTGAATGTAAACCAAACATCGGTTATGAATACTCATAGACCGCTTTTACAGTAGTTTTGTAGTTAAACCTGTAGTGGTTTTGTTATATAAAACTGTATTGTTAAAACTTTGACTTCAAATAAATTGGTTAACGGAAAGTTTGGCATTTGTCAGTAGTGATTATGTGTTTCTGTTACCCAACTAACGAAACAATAATTTAGTACTTAGTAGACTACAGTCATATTAATTTAATAATGTATAACTGGAATGAATACTTTTTAAATAAGTTCATGGTCATCTTTTGCAAATAACCGATAAGGTAAACTACCAGCTTTAATATGCCTAATCTTAAGGAATTACTGCAAAAGATGTTGGTATTCAAGTCTGCTCTATTTACCGTACAATAACTAATTCCAATTTTTGTTAGTACTGTTGTTGTAAACGAAACTGTTAAGATATTCACCAAAAAAAGTCATCGAAATGACAAACAATGTGTGGTGATATGCTATCTGCTTTATTTAAGTGCTGGTAGTAACATGATGATATAGAACGGCGAGGCTTGTAAACATGCTTAGATTTCATAGAAAATACACGTTACACTCATATGATTTATGACGTTTTACTTTATACCAATGAGAACTACAAGAATTCGATAGAACTATTATACAAGCTAATATGACCTAGTCGGCTTAGTAATATTGCTTAGAACATTTATTTCAAGTTTATATCGAATTTTCTAGGCTTTTGTTCCGCACATGAATGTTTTTTGTACTTCCCGCTCTTTAAATATGATCAAAACACATTTTTTATCTTGTAGATGATGATAAAATGCCAATTAATACTTACATTCTTAATGTCTTCAACTTAGATCAACTATCATGCCGTCGGTAGTGTTAAAAATTATACGCTCAACATTTCTGTATAAAAACACACTATAAAAAAATCGCATGCTCATCACATTTCTTACGTTGCACTTTCTATTATTAATAAAGCATATGTTATTATCTAAAGCATGCATTAGGTGAGGTGACATTTTACAAGTAGATTCCCAAATAATATGGGCATTTACCTGGCAGATATGTTCTATCCTATCAAAAGATAAATGCCTTTTTCTTTATGCGTGATCATTTCACTTGTAACATCGACAAAAATCGGGCATTATCGCGGTATTTGCCTTAAATTGATTTATTGCGCAGTAAGCTCCTAGGAACAAAGTACTTTTTGTCATACTGCATTCAACTGGTGAATCATCATAAACCTATTTACTTCACATTGTTCTTTCTGTGCTATCAAATATAATACAGGAGAGGGTAAATGCTCTATTAATAGCGATTTTTTTACCTTTTGTCATTCAATATGATCACTTGATGAAATAGAGTTACTTTAGATTAATCTTTTGAGATATTGAATATAACCAATTTTTACGAGCAGTGCCGTTTAAAATGTCCTTTATATCGTTCATTATAAGTAATCATTTTCGAAAAACTTAGTTATACTATGTAAAGTCAATTTTGAAAAGTATATTGAGTGCGATCAAACCATGAAAGTTAGCTACAATACTGAATATGATGCCCACAGTTCACGGTATGACTTCCGAAAACTTAACAAATTTCTAAGGTTTTGAAAAATCACCAAGTAATTGCTTACAGCATATCTTAAAATATGATGAAGTGGTCGTTGTTTAGACAAACACAAGCTATTATTTCCATTAGATAAACAGTCTCCAACTGACAACATGAATTTACAAGTGTTTTGAAGTGAACAATTGTGTGTAGAAGGAAATCCAACTTGAGAACTGTTTCGTTTAGAAATGAAACTAAACACCCTTGGCAAAAGTTCTGGTCGGAGGTTCTCTTTGATAAAAAACATTCAACATCTCTGACCGTTATTTGGGGCTTCTACACATTTAATAATCTTTGTGTAAACACCTACTAATGTAAACGTTCTTTGTATAAATCAAAATTGAACAACATTTGATAATGAGTTTTGATAAAATTTGTAATCATGTTTGTCATGCTTTTAAATTTACTATTCAACTTATCAAAATTTTGCCAGTGAAACTTTGCAGCTGTCTTAGAATAATAAGTGCCAGAGTGTTGGTTTTTAATTTTTTCTTCGTCGGTGAATACTTTAGCTTTGATTCAGTACCTAGATACCATCAAATGCTATCAAACTGAACATAGATTATCATCTTTTTACGACTGTTGTTCATATCTGATAAAACTGCGGCCTAATCTTGCGAATCATATTTAAAACCGTAGTAGACCGACAACTCAGGTTACCTTCATTAACTCAGTTAAGTTGACTTGTTTAAAGCATATATACCGTCCCACAATTTCTATAGATAAGTAGAAACTGGCTTTCATATAATCTAACTTTAAAAGCGAAAAACTAAAAATATGGAAAACTGATCAATAGATGTACAAAGGTTTGCAGATGCAGAGAACTAGTACCAAAGATAGGGATTTGTATAGTTCATAATCCAGATCAGCAAAGTGGAAAACGTTTGCCGTTGTTTTTATGTCAAAAAAAATCGTTTAACTCTGTGGGTTTGATGATAAACGGAGATCGCTAAGTGAAGATGTTTGCATTTTGCAAGAGGATTGAAAACATTTGTGGTCTACTGTCTTACTATGCCACGGTACTCAGGCTGCACAGTCCGCGCTTAACCTGTTGGCTACCATTGTCTGTCGGTATAGCATTTACTTTTCACCTTTTAAATGCAAAGTACTTTTGAAAGATTGGAAGTGTCCTGTGTCGGTGACTCTCTAGAAGTAGTCAAAAAGTTTATGTATATCAATGATTTTGTGGGTGCTGGTGGCGGCGTTTCCTTTAAAAGTGATTTATATACAGTGGAGGCCAGATAGGTTTATGTACATCCTATCTATCTTTGCCGCCGTTGAAAAATTAGCCTGGCTGCAAAATGTAGAGCTTACAACTCGGGCGTGATAGCAATCTTCCTCTATCCTTGCGAAACATTTACACGTATTAAACAAATAAAGTAAAAATATGACATAGTTGACTCATGCAAAACCATCACAATTATACAATCCAGAAAGTATCGATCAGTTGTGCTGCCGATAAATCCAACTTTTTAAGGTATTTGTACCATTATGATATAATCGTTGAGGACTGTTAACTTTTAAATGTTTGTGTTGTTTGGTGACATAAATAGAAAAGGATGTAAACACAGTTGATGCGGTTTAGTTGATTCTCAATATAAATTCTTCGATGTCGAGATTAAAAGATACTTAAACTCCGGATAAATTTCAAACTCGAGTTTTCTAGCGTAATAGTCAAAAACAGAATCCTGCAAGGCGGGGTCGTGGATGCGCACTACTGAGGGGTCCCATAATAGGACGAAAAGGCCGTCCAGTGCTTCCAGGTTTTCCATGGTGGTTTAGCTTCGATTGACTCATGATCTCAACTGTTGAAATTACGACAATCTCCACAAAACCCCTTTTGATATTAAAAACAGAACCACTGACTCGGACGTTCTCATCAGCCATCTGGTGTGTATAATATCACTGTTGAGTGGTGGAAAATTTACAATATAAGATGACTGTAGAGTGCAGTACACAAAACTTAGTAATCAGACTGTGCTCCATAATCATTAAAATTTCAGTGGAATCGTGAAATGCAGTGTCTGTTTATTTACTTACTAAGTAAGCATTTCATACAAAGTTTGTAGCGTATCATATACTAGAATATTTTGACTCTTTTTTAATTGTCTGAAAATCCAATTTATGTCATATGTTTATCATATAAAGTATTGTTTCATTATATAAACAGGATAATGGACACAAATGTTTATATTGAAAGATTGATTTAGATTTTTTTACCACTGAAATGGAAGCTAAACAGATTCCTGAAAATACCGCTTCAGACAGAATATACGTTGTGAAAGTAACATTCAAACAAAATTTTAATGATGGAACGTCCTTTTAGGCATCAAAGTTTTCAACTTTCCTGAGTAAAGTAGCTTAAATTTGACGAAAAATTAATCGAATATTCTTTTTCTTTTGCTAAGGATTATGTTATGCCGAGTTTGGAGCCCGTGTACCACAAAGTGGATCAGCTTATGTATATAGCTACATTACTGTTGGAGAAATAATGGCGTTTACAATTGGTTGGAATCTGATACTAGAATATGTAATCGGTATGTTCATATAGTAACTTGTAAAATTGCAGTGAACACTTTTCAAATATTTATTTTTCTTTACTCCGAAAATAGAAATGTCATGTAAAGTAGTATCATAACGATACAGTAATCTAAATAGATAGGAGAGGTGAAGAATAATAGAATCGGTAGCAAAAATTTAAAGTCGATACTGGTCATGTACCTAAAACGTTGTTACTGTGTATGATAGGTTTGTAGTAATTTATATCGGAAATGAAAATATTTTATGTCAGGTACATTATTCCCAACGGTTGTGAGCCCTAACGGCTATTTCGTCTGATCTCCGGGGCATCACGTGGACAATTAGGACGTATCAAAAGGTACGTAACGTGAGTAGCATTCTATCACTTACGGTTGTGTGGAATTAACAGATTACCTGGAGTTTATTGCAAAACTTCATAAATAATGGTTCACTTAACGCCTGAGGAATTAGAGCATATGAGTTACGCCTAAGTTATTCAAGTCAGTATTTTATAATGACTGCATTTCTTAGTATGATAACATCTGTTTTACAATACAAGCTCTCGTGACACAAAGCATCATATAAATATTTGTTTTGCATAAGTCGGTGTTAATGGTACCATACTTCAACCGAACGAAGATATGCGAAAGCAGTTATCTCCTAGAAATCTGAACAGTAATGTACACCTAAATTGAGTACAATGGAACATGAGCATGATGCTACGTCTTACTCTCTGGATTTCAGGATATAACAAACTATAGATAGAAAATCACGATGACATTCCCGTTAAAGATACATAGAATGGTATGCACATTAGTTTCAAGAGATTCTGTCCAACGTTTTACCTAATCAAAGTTAAATAAACTCTCCTTAACTACTTGCATAATCCTTGTCATAAGAATAGTCTTGGAGAATAACTCTAAACCCCTGATTAGCACCTACGGTGAAATGGGTGAACTCGGTACATGCGTTAATCCTACTCTGTGTCTGAATAACATAACAATTACCATGACCAAAATTGCTGTACTTATTTCTGTTAGGACTACTTTTCCTTCTATCCAACATGACTTTGGACTAAAAATTGGTATTTCTGCGTTTGAACGTGGGTGCGAATTTCTGAAAGTAACCAGAGTTTCGCTGATTAGAATAGTTGTATGGACGACAATGATGGTGTAGTAGATAAAATTATTTTTTTCTGGCAAAACATACAACGGCACATGCCAAATATACCTTTCATTAGGATCATCACTATATTAATTTGGCTATAAAGTATCTGGTGTACAACTCCTGGTCATGCACATTTGTGCTTTGCGTTTGCTAAATCTCAGCCAGCTCAGTTAAGAATACTCATTATTTCTTTAAGGTTATGAGTCATTGTCCCTGGCGGTCCCGATGTTGTATTTTATCTTTCATATGAATAACGAGATAAAACTCTAAGAAAAAGGAAACCATAACTCGGTTTAACTATTTTGAACTGTTTCCTTCCTTTCATATTTTCATAACACTTCCATTATAATTTCCATCAGGCTATTATTTCAATCAAAATTAAGCAAATAATAAGTGAGGTAGGGTATTGAGAGTCAAACGATTAAACGAGTGACCATAACTTTCGCCCATAAACGCAAAATTATTTCCGTAACCTTACGTTATTTAGAAGTTTTTTCAGAAATATGAGAGAAAACCGATAGTTTAAATATTTTTATCTGCAATATTGTTAGTTATTATGAAGCTGTTATGATAATCAGTCACCACACCAAAAACGTGAATTGAAAACTAAATATATATAAACTCATCTAAATTTGAAATAATAATTTTCTTACCTTAGGCATCGCAAGTGTTGCACGAGCTTGGAGCTCCAATTTCGATGGTATACTCAACGGCCAAATAGAAGAATTTTTTAGGAAGCATTTGGCATTAAATCTCCCTGGTTTAGCTGAATATGTGGATCCACTTGCTGTTGGGTTAATTATTTTAATGACAAGTAAGAACATTTGCCTTACGATCGTCATGATTTTGATTGTTTAGTTACACTTATGAGAAATATTAAAATATGACATCTGGTTACTGTCAATGGTGAATTTGGGTCTTATATTTAATACATTTCACAAGTCGTTTGAGCGAAGCACGGACTTTTACCTAGTAAATTAAAAGCTTAACTTGACACTGTTCTAAACTACCTATAAATGGAAATCCTTTCTTATTAATCTAAACGAATCAAGTTGGCAGTTTTCAAAACGATTCTCTTTGAATATTAAATTTCATACAATCCTAATTCATTTGTATCAGTTGTTTGAATCTTCTCATCAATGTTGAGGACGCCAATTATTCAGTCTCTTTTGAAATATGTGCATCCTGTAGGGATTGATTCAATATTGTCGTTAAGTTACAAGCATTATAAGCAGAGGTAGATGGTAGCCATCAGTGAAATCCAGGAAGAGCGCTCGTTGGTTGGGTCTACCTGCATCCCATAGTTGATGTTCTACATATGTGCATCAGTCCAAGTTGCCACACTTCAATAACACAACATGATGAACACCGAATTCATAGAACTAGTTACTTCGATGGTGGTATTGTATAGAAGAAAGATTGGGTATAAGAATAAAGTACAGGAAGAAAGAATTAATTAGTAGAAAGAAAGATACAAAACGATTTTAACCTCATGGTTTAAAGGAAGACAGAGTGTATACACCGACGCCATTGTGATCGATTCCGAGCCATGTCACCAACAGTCCCCAACCATTGGTTACGACAGTCACGCGAACCCCAAGCAAGTAGTCTGCATCTACCAACATGGCTCAAACCAGAAGTTAGTGACTTCAATGTCTGATGCCACGTTTTGGTTTGGCTCCCCCCAACTTTCTTCCAACCGTCTCCCACACTTATCAGCATTGCGCATCGTGGTAATCGGTGTTCAGGCATACGCAACACGTGGCCCAACCATCTCATCATCTGATTTACCACCATTTCCTAATACCTTGCATCTAACTTCATTATTACCTACCCAACGATCTCAGAAGATGTGGGCAATATTTCTAAGGCATCAAGTAGTTTACTATTATCTTCTGCTTTTAATGACCATGTTTCGCAACCGAAAAGTATATTCGTCCCTTAATTGATAGACGGATATCTCGCCTTCGCCATAGGTGACGTAGCTTGGCGAAAGCTAAACGAGCTTTTTTGAATCCGTGCAGAAATTTCATCAGACACCAACCCAATAGGGCTGATCAGACTTTCAAGACAGGTGAAGTTGTCGATGCACTCAAGATCACTGTAAACATGTGTGAATAATAACGATTATGATTTACAGCTGATGGTTTTGAGTTAGAGTTTTCATCACTGACTGACGTCAGCTAAAATGTTAAAACGCTATTCAGCCGAATGGATGAACGAATTTCGCTCCAGGATCCAAAACCTGTTATCCTAAATCTGATTGATTCGTCCATAGATTATAGTCTCGCCAAATTGTCTACTATTTTATTTCCCCCAACTAAAAACTGTTCTCTATCTACCACTTTTCATTTAATATATCTATTTCAGTACTTTTAAGCATCGGTGTACGAGAATCCGCAATGATTAACAATGTGTTCACAATAATCAACCTGTGTGTCATCATATTTATAGTTGTAACCGGGTTGATTTATGCAAATATTGATAACTGGAAAGTTATTCCAGAGCATGTAAGTGTATTTCTTCGAAGTGGCTGAAAAATTTATTTCCCTCGTTGAATCTATTCATATTCTAGGTTGTTTTTAACTATTTGAAATAACTATTGCGTGAAAAACGGGAAGTAACTCAGCACTGGTTAATCTTTATATTTCACTTTCATCAACATCATTATTTCATGTTAATCAAAAGATGTCAGTTAACAATGTGAATATTCGCTTTATTGTACAACTGACGAAATTGTATCTATAAGCAGAAGATGAAAGGGAAACCGCTGGGGTCATTTAATGTTCCGATAGTTGGTTAATTCTGAAAATCTATTCAAAATCTTCAGATTGTTTAACATTAATATCCAAAATAACACCATTGATTGAAGACAGATGATTGATGTGTTTGAATACCAGTTAAGTTACAATTAGTTACTAACCACGTTTTGTTATTTATCAACAGTAGTTTTTATACATAAAAGAATCTTTTTATACTGATCCAGAAAGCTTAAATACACACTGTTTTAGTAAACAATGTATCATTTAAAAAAGGATGTGATACTGTAAACCATTTCAATAATATACTAACAATTAATTTGTGATCGATTTGTCTTAAATAAACTAAATAGAGTCAACCATGGCTTAATATCTCATTAGAGACTTCTAGTTACTATGAATTTCAACAGTATTGAAAAAAACCACAGTTTGGAGATCAGAAAATTAAAAATAACATTCATTACATTTATTTTAAATGAAAACTACGATTCAACACTGGAAAAGTTCCTTTGAATATGAAAATTGATAAAAAATGTTTGCAGTAAGTCGTAAAATTCCAAAACTAAAGTTTAATAACCATAGGGGATATATAAATTTAGTTTAAATGTTGGGAGATAATTAGTTTGAGCTTTACGTTGTATTATTAGCCCAGAATTTCGTTCTCAAACTAAACATTGATATTAATGTAGTCCGAAATTCAATCAATCTTAAAGTTATTCAGTTGTCTATCACATCATTAATATACTTTCGAGTGTCCTTAATCGATAACCAATTGTAAACCCTAACTGCGTTTGGATTCACAAGCATCTGTTAAATGTACAAGCTAAAAAGAATAATACAGTGTTTTGTTCAAATTAATCAAACACTTTTTGAATTGTCAGGTTCTTATCAATAATACTGTACAGCGTACGAATTTAGGAAGTGGCGGGTTTTTTCCTTTTGGTTTGAATGGCGTACTTTCCGGAGCTGGAACATGTTTTTTTGCATTTGTTGGATTCGATATTATTGCTACAACAGGTAGTTACTTTAATTATTATTTATGTCTTTGACTAGTACTTATATACAATAAAAGATTTTAAGGGTTCATTTATGGATTTCGTAACAACACTCAAGTTGTAAGTTTACTTTGTAGTGTTATTTTACATACTTTGTGAAGTTCTAATTCCTTTAAAAGTGAATATAGAATATTCTGAATGGCTAATTATATAAATTAGACCTTTTATGAACCTGCAAGAGAAATACTGTTAAGCATATGTCTAAATATGAAGATTGATCAAAAAGAAAAATATGAATTTTGCTTGGTCGAATGTTCATCTTACTACTATAATCGTGCATGATAAATTTCAATCCATAGGTGATATTGATCTTAAAATATTTGGATAAAAATTACAAATACTTTTAGTTGTTGTTAGATTAAAAGAACTTGATAGTTATAAGCTTTAGTAAGTTTAATAGATCAAAATCTAATGAATAAAAGTAAATCTTAAAAAAACCTTATCTATCATAATAAGTTATCCAAAATGCAAAATATCAATCATATTTAGGTAATCATTAATCTACAATTTAAAAAAAATTAGCACCTCCATGACATACAGAATTACCGACAAAAATAAGTCTATTAGCAACAGAACGTCTTGATTTTACCGGAATAATTAAGATAACAAGCTCTACGGTTACCAGTTCATCATCTGCTAATTTTAACTGTTTTTGAAAATAAATAGCTTTATATCACGTGATCAAACTGTATTATCTATTCAGTTTTGCAGTATTTACTGGTGATTACTTAGAGAATTCAAGATTCTTGTTTTGTCTGATTTATTTTTGATCGGTAAGCTTAATATATACTTCATTAACTGCCGATAATTCGACTGAGACTCGAGCCTAACGTCTAACATTTTAAATGCGTAAGTCTTTTTGATTAGACTGTTGATAAAAAACTGCCATCTTATTTAGATGATTTTTGGGTATCACTATGACTTATTGTTTTTTAAATATTGAACTCTTTTTATTCTCACATGTTGTCTCCTATACAATCATCCAAATGTTATCATTTTTGATACTTGAACAATATTTTGTCAACGGCGAAAAACGGAACTCCAGAAAGAAGTCGTTTAAAACATATTAAGTTCTGGGCATGCTGCTCTAAATTTATTTAGATAAACAGTAACAAATTATTTATTCTAGCTTCTTTTAATCACAAACTGTACATAAAGGTTTATTTATTTTTTTCAATTTTCTATTTTATTATTTCTAAGGTGAGGAAGTGCGTAATCCACAAACAGCGATTCCTATAAGTATTATCGGATGCCTGCTAATATGTTTCTTGGCATATGGTCTTATATCTGCTACACTTACGTTGATGGTACCATATTATTCTATCTCTTCTGTTGCTGCTCTACCACTTGCATTTAGTCGCCATGGCTTACATTGGGCAAAATACATTATTTCCACTGGGGCTTTGTGTGCTCTAACTACTAGGTTTGTTAACAACGCTTTAACGTAATAACACTTCAGAAATAATAAGAATCGATTTGACCAGAATATATTGCAACTATGGGTTGATATTTGCTGAGAAAGTATTTGAAATAAATTAACAATAGACCATCTAAACCTATTTATATTAAACTCAAGTCAGAGAAAGCAGGGGTGTATTTTCTTATTTTATCGATAAATTATCAGGTTATAACTCAACGATCGTTGCCTTCGAAATTCATGGTTTCCCGAAAATGTTCCAGACTAAGAAATTGCAGTTATTTATTACCCCTATGATTCACAAAAGATACTGAATCTATATCGTCTCATGATTGGAGATCTATCTTAAATGACCGAATAAATCCATTAATTTGTTACACGCTGGTACATTTTGCAACAAAACTGTTTTATCACGAGAATACGGAATAAAAATCACACATCATTTTCCGTATCTTTATTTAAATTCAGTTAGTCAATATACTTGTTTGTAATTGGTAAAAGCTTTTGATTACTGACTAAGAAGTTATGAATATGAATTTGGCACTTAATTTAGCTTTTGTTTATAGCATACACTTAAGGTTGTCTTTAGTCACATAGCTTTTCCAACCAGCATTTCATAGGCCATTGAAAATCTTTCACTACAATCAGTACTATTTTCATTTGGTTGTTACAGCTTAAACATCTATCAACCTGTAGATTGAAAACTAAACTGAGTTAAAAATAGCTTTGCCAGAATAATTAATATATGAAAACTTTGTTTGATGGCCGTGAAAATATCAGCATTTTTATGACTTGATTATCAAACATGCACTTTAATTAAATATCATTATAATGTTTACATTGTGGTAAGTGCAATGCTAACGAAACTTATTAATAATTTTTATATTGTTATTGTTGAATCGAGTGTTTTGTTTTAGTCGATAAACACCATATTTAGCTTTGTGAGTTACTCTTTTCAAATAATTTTATTCTTGCAACCGTATATTGTCCATGAGTATTTTTGAAAAAATACAATAAATGGTATAAATTGATTAATTCAAGTAATTTGGTTGTTTTCAGTTGAACAAAGTAATTAATTTCGCTTCGAAGCTTCTTATACGATGTATACTAGTAACTGCTTTTCTTTACAATATCCTATAGTATTCTGTTTCCATGATTCAGAGGAGATTATCTTAAATCAGTATTCCATTGCATGTCAGTCAAACTGTAGAAGAGGCAGATGGTTATTGCTAGCCTATCTAATCGCATTAACTTGTACATAAGATAATACTTAAATTAAATAAAATGAATACCATATATTTCCCTACTACCTGACCGCATCGACGATTCGATATTCTAGTTAATGAAACATTTGTTAAGTTGTTGATTAAGACTACCAATTCTCCTTGTCAGTACAATAAGAGATATAACAAAAAGATATACAATGAAATGCAGAAAACAATAGGATAATGTGACATTAATCTTTCAAAACAAAGTAAAAAGTGAATACATCTTTTTTCGGTCATTTAACTGTCAAAGCTACTAGTTCGACAATAAAGCTTCCACTATTAAAATTTCACCTTGATTAAATAAGTTATTAAACTAGTATGATATATTCTAATCACAACCTGCAAATGTTTATCGCCACAAGTCCACTAACGTAATTGAAAATGATATACTAAATAGGTAATAACAACTCAAATGTGACGCATATTTTGCCAAAGTTTATTAGTGGTAGTTCATCATCTTATTAACTGGCTTGTCTCCGTTGCACAAAGCAGTAGACCTAAACTTAGCATAGTTTTAACAACTTGAAAAATATACTACGAAGGTACATAATCTTTCGAACTTATTTACCGTGAAATAAGTCTGTTTTGAATTTTGTATTTTCTTCTCTCGATTTTGAAATGAATGTTCCATTTACTTCCATAACTGGAAAGTCTTAGGTAATTGGACAGTAAATGTCCTACAAATATGATTTTCATCAATTGTCCATGGCACTTAATCATATTTATTTTTCTATTATTAACTTTGTACGTAAATGTATCATTTTATTGCTCCACAAATTTATTATTTAGGGTTTTATAAAATATAAAAAAATTGTGAAAGAATAAATGTAACTATTTAATAATTGTCATACTGTTCACTTCCATGATAATTTCGAATAGAGTAATGTGATCTCTGTCATTGTCTGTTGTATGACAATTGGAATCATCAGCACTCATTTTTTCATGTTACTTAGTAAATCGGTCGAATGACTTTTCACTAGTTACAGGTTGAATGAAAGTTCTCAATGATCACATCACGATATTTTCTTTTATGATCCTTCATTATTACTTCGAAGGAAGAAGTTTCTTTTCAAGCAATACTTATTTACTTATGTATATAAAACATGGAATCCTCTGAATATGTCCTCTGTCGGAATTATCGCTTTATTCATTAATCTACTCAAATAACCCAAGACTAATTTGTGTATTTTTCTATTCCTACTCGATTATAATAAATTTAACTAGCAAATTAACATAAACTAGCCAATTCATAATTTTGCTCAATGTATAAATTAGGGAAAATTATACGTTTACAATAACCTTATTTAAATGAAATCATTTATTTACCAGTTATTAAGTAAAATATACTCGTTCAACATTTTAACCATCTTTGTAAACTAATATGGTTTTATTGGTTGAAATCAACCGATAAAACAAACTACATAATGAATTTTAACTATTATATCGGGACGAGAATAAACCAATAAACTATTATTATACGAATATTTCTATTGTATGACCTTTAAGTAACTATATTATATGTATATTCATATTCCTATCGTTATAAGCGTTTATTTGACCTATTGGTTACTGTTATATGATTTACTATTCTCAACCTATTAGTCACAGTTCCCCAAAATTACAGCCACTTTGGGCTTGTTCTGATACAAATGTTACTTTATATTTTATGATGTGATGTGGTTTAATTTTACTCGTATATAAACCGATTATGTATGAAATATACGATTCGTGTCGTGGAGGCTGAGATTGGCGTTCTGGACTTAACAGGTAGGATCAGGCGGCAAAAGGGCAAATCCGAACTCTAGGTTGCCCGTACTTGTGTATACGTCATTAGTTTGATCGTATAAGTTGGCGTATCTAGAGTGGCAATCGTATTTCGTGGTAATCGTATAAGCCAAGGACATAACATTAACTTTACCAGATTTCAAAAGCATTAATTTGATGATCATCAACAAATGTCGAATTCATTGCTTTTTAATATCTAGACTTTGGATTCCAACTGTTATGAATTTGCTAGTATCATGAAAAAATTATTCAAACTTATGTGAATCATTTATGCACTAACAAAATTCTTTTTAATTTCATTTACATTTCAATTAACTTAGTGAATTATACATATTTTTAGCCTTTTAGGTTCAATGTTCCCATTGCCACGCATTTTGTATGCTATGGCAACTGATGGGTTGTTATTTGGTTTTTTAAATCGAATAAATTCAAAAGTTAAAACTCCACTTTTAGGTACTATTGTATCAGGTGTTATTGGATGTAAGTATTTTTGAATATCTATGTTTATGCATACACATATATATCACAGCTTTAATCAATAGGCTTAAATGGTATATCTTGGAAATCAGTGACTAAATGAATTAACCCACCACTATCACTTTTAGTATATGAATATACTCCGGAAAAATGATATGAAATGAGCCTCTGTACGTTAGGGTTAGGACTGGATAAAAACGTGAAATCCTGTTCAGTACTGCTTGCATTTTTAATTCAGTGAGATGATTATTCAGGATATTTCTTTTATATTAATATGATAATTATTCATTATAATATTTTTTTCTATTAACGTTATGTGAGCTTATTTCGTTTTAATATGCAGCATACATTTTTGTAGTATTTCAATGTAAAATTCAATTTTGAATTTCTTTTATTTCTATTATTTTCGATATTCATTCAGAGTAAGGAAAATGATTAACAATATGAGGTTGTGAAGATTGTTAAGTTTTTGACTGAAGCCATGAATCGACAAAGGTTAGACTACTATTGAAAACCTGTAAGCAATGACGGTTTGACATTCTCTGATTCATGATTTCAATATTGAATTATGTCATAGCTTCACAATATATACACTAAACAGTAATTTGACAAATATTTGGATAATTCACTTTTAACAGTCAATACGTCTCAATAATATAATAAGGCTGGGTTTTATCAAACAATAAGGTGTGAAACACTACAAAACCAAGTTATATGACTGAATATCTTGTTACGTAATATTATAGATATACTTTCTTTCTGTCATGAGTTGTAAACTCTGATCATATTTTTTTATGGTTTAAGTATCGCCTAAACAATAACCGATAGGTTGAATTTCTCATCCTTGGTTCTATACAACAATAAGTAGTCGTATAATTTGAAGACTTATTTTGATACAGATTTATCATATGGTTGACTTCTAGAATTATAATTTCACCTATTATTCAACTTTTCTTAGTAATAACTTATTAATAAATGGCTTATTAACAAATCATGCTTTTTTCCCCTTTTATGTATGTGATAATTTCAGCCATAATGACGGCAGTATTCAGTTTACAAGATCTAGTCGATATGATGTCGATTGGAACACTTCTTGCTTATACTCTAGTATCTGTTTCTGTGCTTCTTTTGAGGTAAGTTATACGTTCTATGAAATAGTTCTTATATAAACAGACTAAATTTTGGTTGTATACCTGTTGATTTGAAATATTTGATGCTTTTTTATTCAAAACATTTATTTAGATAAGGGTCTGAATCATTACCTTTATTTTTATACTCAAATATTAACAATTATTTGTATTTAGTATAAAATTCTATTGAAATTCTTATGAAAGATATTCAGTGATCTCAAGAACCTTGTAAAATAAAATTTCAAAGACGTAGTCAAGGCCTCTATGCATTATCAACATTAAGAGAGAGAAAGTGCCTAAAAAATATATTCAGATTGAAAACAACATATGTTTGACCAACACAATCCAATATCTTCAGCAACAATTTTTAAACATCTTACAGATCCCATAAAGTATTATGATAGTAAAGACAGATAATTACATCTTACCAAAATGTCTATCGCAGCTATCAAAGTGAGATTCTGGGTCTTAATGCCAAGGTTAGATTTTATATCTCAAAAATATTTATTATTATTAGAATGAAAGTTAAATCTGAGGGTTTCAACTATTTCACTTTTTAAAGTTGAGAAAGAGACAAGTTGTACCAAATAAAATTAAATCACTTCCCAAACAAACTTATACAGAACACATAGGATTTAACTTACTCATAATACTATGCTTTTTTATACAAATGAAATAAAGCGTAAACTATTCCATCAGTACCTAACATTTTGATTTATAAGAATCTTACTTACAAAGTGAGTTTTCTCACGGGAGGCTAATCAACTGGCGTGTGTATCACGCGATAACATGTGACGTCTTACTGTTTACTTTAATTAGTTATTTATTATCGTATATTTACTACTAGCATTGCTGCTGTGTAACACATAAAACAATGTTTGTAACTTAAAATTACGGTTATCTACAATAGACAAATGAGTAATAACAAAAACGAATGATACTGTTTCTGAAATCAAATTTTAAGATCTGTTCCATCATATCCAGGTATCCGTAGAGTAAACTTTGAAGTATTTACAATGCAATCTAATTTTTGAAATATTTCATACTTTCAGGTCTTACACTCGTCTGGCTTGTATCTATCTCTGAATTTTTTATTTACTTAAATAATAATGTTATCGGAAGATTAGGATTTACTTTTGGGAACAAATTACTTAAGTTAAAAATACCAACCAGTTTAGTCTAATTTAGTGGTTTACATATTCTTTATTCATCGTGATGCCTAAGGACCATGGTTCCCATTCGGTACATAATTTTAGAGTCTTAAAAAGGAAAGAATTAATGGCCCAGTACATTTCCGTTTGGAGTAATTCTTCATCTAGGGAAAATTGTAAAAAATCCATTCTTAACATAAATGTTTGATAAACATAAAGTAAACTAATGACGATTTAAATTTATTTATAACTATTCTGTTTTCCTTTCCGACAAAATTCACATTTTAGAGGACAACAAATGACCATTGGATATTGCCTTAGGGACACGAAAGATTATACAGAAGTATTGATGGACGATGAAAGTTGGCCAGCTGGTAAATTACCCTTATCCGAGTAGGTCTCTAGAATGTTAAGAATTATTTAAAATCCCACCGAATATTCAGTACATAACTATCACAATGGATTTTATCAATAGGCATAGATGTAGATGTCATGTGATGGCCAGAAACTGTTAATTAATTTTATTTAAGACATATTAGTACCTAATATAGATACTAATATTTACAGTTTTAAAAATATTTAGTGGGTAGTCAAACCTCTACTATAGGTTTAATCAAATTCTGTCTTATATGAATGATTTCCTTAAATCTTCAGTAAATCCGACGAATGTCTGTAAACTTTGTATTAATTTCTGATCAAATACTTTAAATATCGATTTGACGGCATCGGTTTCCATGTGGCCGGTGGCTGGTTGCTCACAAGACCGGATTAATGATTTAAACGCTCAAATGAACTAATGAGTAGCAAGATTACCAGACAGAAGAATAGGTTATTTAATGAACAAAATAACACTCCTGTTTACAGAATAATGACAAAAAAGAAATACGATTAGACGTCATAAACGATAATAGAAAGTCAACTTTGAAGGTCCCTCAATCTTTAACAAATTAAGACCTGACTGTACGGCTTAAATCTTGCTTATCATAAAAACTGATTGTTTGTATTGCTCTTATATTTAATTTAATTAATAGTGGTTGATTCATTTACTAAGCATCATGAGAACTATTTTTTTTTAATTTTTACCTTGTGGAGCCAATCAAACTGGGAAAAATATTACATGATTAAAATTGAGTTTATTTTATACAGGTTCCTTACTGATAAATTTTAACTCGGCTTTATTCAAACATGTTCATTGTCCGGCGCTTAATGAACATAATTTTAAGTGAACTATATATGTACCATAGATTCCATCTATGAAAATTTTTCTCTAATCATTTTGACTTTATAGGTATCATTACCAAGATTTGGTTTGATAATTTCGAATAAATTGAGCATTGGGTAGATTGTTATAAATAAATAATATATTTGTAATATCTGAAGAAGTGACTTGCAATAATCCACGAAACGTCAGAAAATCAAATTTTCTACTCATTGAGATATTACAAATATATTATTTATTTACATTTTGACTTTAGTTTCGGTAGACTAGTTCTGGAATAATATTTCACAAATTTTCCTCATTATATAAAAAAGTCTATTTTTAGAAATCTTTTGTAGAACCCGTGGAAATTTACGTTTATATTTGTATTCTTCAACCTTTATATGTACATATTCATTTATGAATTTCTTACTTATTATCACCATTAAAAAACGAAATGCATCTTTTTTTAAACGTAAAGCGTGTCGGAGTTATTTACTCTTACAAAGTACAATAATTTTTACAAAAATCTTGGACGAATCTTAATGTGCATAAAATATTTGTTTGCTAGTACATACTCGTTAGACGCAAAACAGGCATAGCTAAGTTTAAAATCATAAGTATTATAGTTTGGTCCTTAAAATTGAAATAAATTATGTAATGATGAAAATTTTAGATTTGATGTATTTATTTGCTTTAAACATATGCCTTTCAATGTGATTTATTATTTTGAACACGTAAATATTGATACAAGGGGGCACCAAATATATATGCGCCACACAAAACAATGAGAATTTAAAGAGAAGGGAAAAAAAAGGTAAGGAACGTAGGTAATTAGAAAAAAAAAGAGAACAATAATGGGGGAAACAAAAAGGTACAATTAGAGGAAATCTTACAGTTAAGGAAGAAGCAACTACTCTTTACGAAGAAATTAAAAGAAGGTTACAGCAGGATCGCCACTGGCTTCTATTCTGAGCCATATCTGATAACGTCTCTAGTCACTGTGTCGCACCATCTCTCGAACCCCAACCAGGGAGTCGTGAAGGACCAACACAAGCCAGCCCTTTGCAGCTTTCTTTCGTACCACGACACCATGTCATATACTGACCACCTCTCCGCTTTTTCCAACCAGTCCCAGAGTCGGCAAATAATGCACGACGAGGAATTCTCTGGGACAATATTCGTAGAACATGTCCAAGCCACCGAAGTCGGTGTTTCAAGATGGTGACATCCATTGGATTATCGTCTCTGTGCTTGAACACACGATGCACTACTAACATGGTGTTGCCACTGGATGTCAGCAATCCTTTGGAGACAGCGATGATCGAACACAGAGAGTCGTCTAACATCCTCAGCTCGGAGGTTTCACAAGCGTAAACAAAACTGTTCTCACCGACGTGTAGTAGGTCCGACCTTTTACAGCCAGACTAACATCACAAAGGCGCCAAAGATGGCCCAGATTGTCATAAGCCGCTCTGGCTTTCACTATACTTGCATTGATCTCATCACTCACGCCACCGCCAGCACTTATGCAGCTTACCAGATACACGAACTTCACGACTACTTCTATTTGCTTACTACCCAGGGTGAGTGCAGGGTCATGGTCCTGCCAGACGTGTACAAGTACTTTGCACTTCGAGGTTGCAAAGCACATATCATACCTACGGACATTGCCAACTGATTAAGCGCGGATTGGATGGCCTGGGCATTATCGCACAGTAGGAAAATATCATCCGCATACTCAAGGTCGAAAAGTCTTTCTCCAGGTAACAGATCTACACCACCATTACTTACATCCATCAGAGCTGTTTTCAGAATGTCATCGATGGCAATGTTGAAGAGGAATGGTGAGATTGGGCAACCTTGTCTAACCCCACTGCTTGAATGGGACAATGGAGAAAGGTGGTTGTATGCCCTCACTCTGCCTGAGGTGTTTGTGTATAGGGCTTTTAGGATGTTAATAAACTTCTCACGCACACCCTTCTTCAATAGACAATCCCAGAGAACAGTTCTGTCCAACGAATCGAAGGCAGCCCTGATATCAAGAAACACTACGATTGTTGGCCTTTGATAAGTATGGCGGTGTTCTAACATTTGGCGGAGGGTGAAGATATGATCAATACATCCTCGACCAGAACGAAACCCAGCCTGCTCCTCGCGAGTCAATCCTTCTCGGGTTCTGAACAACCTACGAAGTATGACGGAAGCCAAAAGCTTGGACGCAATCGGAAGTAGACTTATCCCCTGATAGTTGTTACAGGAACAACGTGAACCCTTTTTAAAGATAGGGACAACTATCGACTCATTCCATGACGTTGGTACACTCTCTAGTTCCCAGACCTTTGTAAACAACGTCATCAGTCCCTTAGTCAGAAAGTCACCACCATCTTTAAAAAGAGCCGGAGGTAAGTCATCTGGGCCCGGTGATTTGTAACGTTACAAGAGTTGGAGTTCCTTGCGGACTACGCCTCATTTGGTGGATCAGTCGTCACCGGCCATGGAGTGCAGGACAGTCTGACCGATGTTGCCGGAGCAGCAGGCCAGTTGAACTGCCCTTCGAAAAATTCTGCTCATCGTCCAAGACGTCGATGGATGTTAGTGATTGGCGTTCCGTCATCCTCGCAGATTGTTTCGCTCACACCAGACTTCTTGCTGTCAGTGGCTCGGATGAGTTGGAAGAGCTACCGGTAATTACCAGATGCAGCTGCTGCTTCCAGCTCATTAACACGCTCCGACCACCAGGCTTTTCGGTCCTTACGCACGCCTTGTCCGATTTCATTACGTAACATCCTTTGTCTGTGGTCAAACTCACGGTCACCCGGAGTAGACCGACAGGCTTCAATGAGTTGTAAGGAACCAGAAGAAACCCAGCGCTTGTAAGTGGGATGTTTCGCGAATCCACAACAGACTTGACCCGCCATTTTCATGGCATAATGCAATTGCAACCAATGCTCATCTATACTTTTCGGTGGAATGGTAGCTAGCCTAGAAGCTAGCTCGATTCGATACTTACTAGCAACATAAGTTGCAACCAACCTGCTGACATCAATCCTTTGGTGACGGTCACTTCGTTGTCCACTGAAAAGTAAGGTAAGATTGGCGCAGACCAGGGCATGATCAGAGTCCAGATAGGTACTCCAAAAGGAGCGTCAGTCTTGTACACAACCACGCCAGTGGTAACTGATCGCGATGTTATCAATCTGAGTCCAGGCTTGAGATGCAGAAGGAGGACGCCAGGTGGCACATCGGCGATGACTGTGCCGGAAGTTAGTGCTAGCCAGAAACAGGTTGTGGTCTGTGCATAGTTGCAGTAGACCGTCCCCGTTATCTGTCCTGCGACCAACAAGTCCCCATCGGCCACCTAAACGACTCTCTTCTGTGCCTAGACGCCCGACCTGAGCGTTCAAGTCTCCAGCTAGCACTACAATATCTGTCGAACGCACTTTCTGGAGAAGAACAGATAACTGGTGGTAGAATTCATCCTTGATTGCATCCGGGCTGCAATCTGTCGGGGCATAGGCGGAGATGACGAAAAGACATCGTTTCTCACGCCCATTTCTTCTTACTTTGGTGGAACTTTCTTATTTAACAGCACATAACCGACTGTTAATGGGAATCCAATCGATTAGTGCTGTCTCAGCTCTAGCGCTTAGTGCGACACCAATGCCAGCAAGACCAGACGAAGATGCCACAGGGTCCCCAGATAAACGCACATAAAACAAGCTTTTTGAAGCGACAGATGGAGAGAGAACTTATAGTACTTCACCAGAGTCTTGAATACGGGTCTCGGATAGACAACACACATCAATATTAAGACTTTCCAAAGACATAGCCAGCCCTATCTGTTATCCGACCTGCATAAGTGTGCAAACGTGGAAGGCAGCTAGTTTGAATAGTCCACGTGGTTTCAGAAAAACTGCTTCAGTACTCTTATTCGATGGTAACATACAATTTTCAACCAGGCAGTGACTCGAGAACGTTTAGATAAAGCTGAATTTTCACCATAGGCGAGCTGCTGTATAAGTCGAAAAATAAGGATAGACCGAGTGAGAATGAAAAAGAGTGAGTAAATGACGTGGTAAATAATAATAATAACAATAATAATAATGTGAATTGTTTGACAGTAAATCGCAGCGAAAATAGAGTTTTTAGTGAATATCATCATTTTCATTATCATTATATTTGTGTGTAGGCTGAGATACTGCCCAGGTGCCCAGACCGAAGCAGGTGGTTTTCTTAGGGGGCCACACCCCGAGCCTTCGACCTAAAGGTCTAACCCACAAGGCAGTGGAGGAGATGCAGTCTCATGGAAGCCAGTGACCAAGAAATTGATCCATACGCCATTTGTTCTCGCAGGATACTGGAGCCCATGTGCACCATTCATTTGGGATCCGGTTATATCGCCGGACGTTCGCTTTTCGTCCTCTCATTTCCGTAAACAACACCCCCGCCACGAGAAGGCAGTGAGTAGGACTTCCCTGGCAGAGGCTATATACGCGTGGCCGTGTGAGAGTATTTCGGGAGTGACGGTGAACCCACCCCACTCTCGGCCATACCAGGGCATTTGGGGGCCCAATATTACAGTCACTGTATACTATTAAGTCAAAAGTTAAAATTAATGCTTAAGTTTATTAGTCTGCGTTTTCGGAACATCTTACTAAAATTGAAAAATAAAGCTTTTTCATCTTTATATATGTTTTAATTTATTACTAGTGAAAAATCATATCCACTCAAGTTTTTGAATGAAATAGCAGACAATACACTTAGTAATGATAGAGAACCATCGAATGGTTTTGATGAATATTCCGATCATAATAAACAATCCATATCCCCAAATAACATTGATAGTCCAAGGTAAGTGGTTATTTTCAAATTTGATTTTTAATTCTTAATCAAATCTTTAGTTTTAATACTCATTTCACTTTTATTACGATCCTATATGCGCAATCATTATACTCGTTAATCATAATCTATGATCAGATGCAGTTATTGAATTCTGTACTAATGATGGTAGAATGATTAATCGGTTAACATGCAAAACTTTTAAAGCCCTGAATTTAAGTTCTTTTTTAATAGTTTCAATCATATTTAGTTTATAATAGTTAACAATATTTAAGACAGTAACTAAAAGTAAAAATTAGTTTTCTTTTTTCTGAAATATATAATATTAGGTAATTAACCAACGAGACTCGGCATTTTATTAACAATATGACAACCTTTGAAAGATATCAACTTACTAGTCGTGAAGATTTTAGCTATGTACTAACGATCGACTACGCAAAAATAAACATTTTATGCAGTAAATGATTATTTGGGAACTAAGTGCTGATCTATCCTTTACCAAATACGAACTTAATGAGCTATATTTATGTTTAAATCATGGAAAATGAAACAATATCTGTAGTTTTTTTAGGGTATTTGTTTGTGATGGAAAGAAACAATAATACAGTGTTTTTTAAACTTCATTTAAGAATTTATCATTAATGTAGTGGTTTTTTAAATTTTTCTGAATTCATTTATGTTTTAAAAGAAATAGTCGCAATTGTAAACTAAATTGTAAAGGCTGAATATTCGGGTAGAGTCATGTAGAGAAACTGACTGAAATCTCTTCACTTGACTTTCATTTACTTCTTTACTCATAACCACTAATCCTAGAATTCGTGGTCTGTTATTACTACCTTAGAGAACTTTATGAAGTGGTTATTCTTTCAGTTTATAAACATTGTTTTTCTCTCATGTCTTTCTAGTTTATCAACAACTTTGAAACAAACAAACAATTCATCACTTCCTGATAATATTCATCTCGACATTTCAAATTACTTTCGAAGATGTTTCAATCTTGAACCTGGTCAGGATAAACCGTCTAAAACTACTGAATTAATTTATGAAATAAATAGTTACTTACTACGTAAGTGATGATTTCTTCAACTAATAGAAAAATAAATGGATACTCATTTTATATCATGGTTTTTATCAATCAAAAGAAAAAATATTGGTTTCGAGTAGTTGGTGTAGATCTTATAAAATACAATGTCATAATCTTTACAAGTTACTAACGATACTAGAAAGTTTGCACCACTTATTTTAACGACGTATATCTGTAGGCTTTTATTATAACTGAAATTATGTGTAAATGTTTGGTGTTTCACCTTAGCTAATATGCCATGCAGCGTTTTACCTAATTAGCAATATATAATAAAAATGTATTTAGTAAATATTAATAGTGAAATTTAAAGCGTACGTTTTGTTTTACTTAATGTTCAGTCTGTACGCTAGGACGATTGTATGTACATATAAATTAAATCAATAATTTCAATATTTTTGACGATGTTGATTTATTAATCCAACAACCATCATCAGTGTATTCGAAACTTTAGATAATATCATTCAATTTTGTATCGACCTTTAAAGGAGTTTCCCTTACATTGACAGTTAGCCTCTTATGTGACATCTGTGTTCCGAAAATGTATCCAAAGAAATTAGTCTCATGTCACCCTTTTGTAATTTAACTTGTATTTTGATAACAAGTCCCACAAACGAATCAAACATTTTTGTACCATCAGTTAAGTACATATTGAAGACATCAGCAATGTTTTGAGTAAGCTCCGGGGAATATCGATCATAGATATCTATCGTCTTTGGTTAAATGAGAGAAACGTTAAACCAACTGAGTAAACCGAAAGGTTCCTTAAGGTGCCAAATAAAAGTTCGTTCATGAATAATGGGTTTAAAGCAGTGATACTGAAGAAGGGACTTTTAGAAAGATGTGGAACATCTAGTTATCTTTATACGGAGGCTGAATGCGTTAAAGATGAACTATTACTTTTGATTAAACGCAAAGAGGATCCAGAAAAAAAATTTTTATTTACGATGAAACCATTAACTTAAGCTGTACATTCGTTTTTACAGTTGTGTATCTTACAGTTTGCTTGCTGTTGGGAGTACGTTATAATGACCGTACAAGGTGCGCTACTTTTAAACATATATCTGAGCGATATATTATCGGTCTCACGAAAATAAAATGTCGATAAACTAGCTATTCAGTTCTTGAACTCTGACTACATGAATCCTCCAGAATCTAATTTCAGAATTATTATTAATGTAAATTTAATTAACTCAAAGAAATAATGAATCAAAAAATAACTTCGTTCGTTCATACTTTTTACTCTGTGTTTTCAAAGAGCCTAGCTAATGTTTTATTTGACGTCAGTACGTACTTCTTTCTAAATTAGTGTGAAAATATACTTTTTACAAACAGTAAACCTAAAATATAGAACATTTAAAATTTAGAGTACAATTAATTAGTTTCTCAGCTTCTAAAATAAGTAGTGGTTTCTAAAAGTGCTACTTCATCAGGTTAGTGATAATTTCTTGCTATGGAAGGTATAATAAATTCTAAGTCATTTTCTGAAATAATTGTATGATCTATTTGAACATAAAACTTACTAGTTGATTTGGCTACACCACCATCATTAACAAAAATTCACCTCATCTTTAAAAACAATCATGAACCAAATCATTTTCTAATGTAAATCTCATTTTGTTTTGTTTTGACGTATTTAACGCATACTTTCTAGTTTGCTTCATTTTTCTCGGCAATCTGGGTATATTACTGTTAGATAAACTACCTGAGGAGGCGACAAAATATATGATAGTCACAGTCCCAATATGGACTTTCGTTGGGTTAATGATACTGACCAGTATTATCATTTGTTCAGCATTAGCCAGACAACCAGAAAATCAAACACCTGTGGCATTCAAAGTACGTATTATGTTCTCATGTACAAAGTTTTCTTTATTGTTAAGCTTTATTTAGTGCAAGTGCTTTAGAATATGATGTTTGTTGCGAACAGCTGATCAGGAAACGTTGCTTCTTGTACCTACTTTCAAAGTTTGAGCAAAAGATGGGCAATGTATTTAAGTTGTTTTTATTTAAATACTTCTTTATTAGTATCTGCAGACATTATGCAAATATTTCCTTTCATCTTAATCGAAAAACTAGTTTCAACAATCAGATGTTCATTCCTACTATACTTATAACTTTATAGCCTTTCCACCTCATCCATACAAGTACATGTAAACGCAATGCTCCATATTATATGGGGATATTTACAGACTATGAGACACTCCTAGGTGATTTGTCCGATTTTCATTTTAATATTTATTTAGTACTGATGATAACACTGTTATTCATTGACGTCGTTGTTAAATTAAAATCGGTTGTTTAGTTAGTAAAATCCCTACTGCATAAATAACTTTTTGCAACATATTTGTGATGAATCTGAGGAAGAATAATGTATGAGCCTAATAAGAATTCTTCAGACAAGTGCTATAAAACGTCAGGAACACTAATAAAAAAAGTTCTCCAATATTAATGGTTTATTGAAGCTATAACTTCAAACAACATTCCTCTTTTACAGGTCCCTGGGGTTCCATGGATTCCAGCTATTAGTATATTTATTAATGCATATTTAATGGTTAAATTGTCAGGGGCTACATGGATTAGATTCTTAGTCTGGATGATTATTGGTAAGAATCTTTGTCGATTTGTTCAGATAAGAAAATTATTTGATCTAATAGCTTATGACGATGTTTATATGAAAAAATTCATGATATATCACAATATTTAACCCTTTTATTCAAGTGATAAGATGCTTATTTTTACTGACGAACCAAAAACAAAAAAATGGCAAATAAATGTTTTCATTTTAATGTGGTTAAAAACTAAAATATATCAGAATCCTTATTTTACCACATTTATGTCTTTATTTATTATGGGGAATCATGCTTATTTACAAAACCTTAAATAGCAAGTATCTTTGACCAAACATCTCAAAATATAGATATACTTGACAAAAATACGCGATGAGACATGTAAGCACTTTTTGTCAGGACTACATTTCAACTAATTGTCTTCCTAATGAAAATATCTCCTTAAATAATTCATGAAAGTGATGACAATAGACGTCGAAAGATGTATTTTGTAATGCAATGTAATATTTGAAAAACTGATTGGTTATACATCTCATTGATGACTGGACATTTTCATTAAATTATTCAGAATCTATCAAATGTCTGGTTAATTCTTTGGTAATCCTACCTGAAGCAAATACTTCAGTAAAAAGTCAAATAACCATCAGTTGATGTAACATCAAGAACAGTTACTTGTACGTTATTCAGAAAATGAGAAACTGATTTACACATTTTTATATAGAAAATAAACTGATGGTTATAGTCAAATCCCTAATTAATGAATTTCCGCTTTTAGTTACTACTTGTGTTGACTTAACTTCTAACTATCAAATCTATTCAAAGATTCTTTTGTTTGAGTTGTTTTTAAACCAGTTTCTTGCTTTCCTTACCACTTGAGTTAGCCTGATCAACCAATCTTTATAGATTTGGTTAGTCTTTAGTTAAAATCTAGACAAATGGAATAGGAAATTAATTGATAATAACTATTCACCAATATCAATAGCTATTTGAGCGCAAAAACAACCAAATAATACATTCGAACGAGGTAGCTCATTTATTGCCATTATTATTCCATTTGTTGCATAATGTGGAAATGTTTCATTCGAAATGAGTGTAAACGAAGTATTTTCACTTAAGAGAACCTTTAAGCTGGGACAAAGGATGTCGAATACTTATAGCTACCTAGTTTTTCACTGTTCTCTAAAGAATGCTTATTTTGGCTTAAAAAATGTATTCACATACGAAATAGATATAATGGTACATACCTCTCATACCATTTGACAAATAATTAATAAATTTACCTGTCTTTGAACACTTGAACCTACTAATAAATTGTAAAGGTATATAATTAGAATGTTTTTCTATTATCATATTCTTAAGATAGCAAACACCTGGTCACTAACTTATTGATATTTTCATTCACACGAGTATGAAGAGATTACTGAGGGAGGGAAAATTCCTTAGATTTGAGAGGAGTAAGCATACTTTATTTACTTCATTGTTTACATACATTATGCTTATAGATTCAGTGAATACATATAATTTCGATATAAACTTTTATCTTGAATATCAGAATACATTCCCTTCGTACAAAAAAATTATGACTTAATCGTTGAATTCATGAGTCGATCTAAGCAAGACCACTGTTGTAATCCTGGAAGCATTAAACGGCCGTCTCGTTCTAGTATGAGACCCTTCCGCAGTGCGCATCCACGATCTCGTATGCGGGACTTCAACCCAAGACCTTCAGTGTCGCAAACGAACGCCTAACCTCTGGAACACTAAGTTGAAATTCAACAATGTTAATGTCTAACTTCAATCAATAATTGCATTGTTAAATTTTGAGGAATTATCGATTCTTATAAGAACATTCACACAACTAATCTTTTTTGTATGAAACAACTCAAGATTTTAAATAAGTTCTGGAAAGTGTGAAATCAGTCAAATTGATAGTAAGAATTAACATTTGGCAATTGAAATAAGTGAGAATTATGGCATGTCCTTTATTGCTTCTAGTAGAAAGTAGTAACCACTAGTCTTATATTCAGTTAGTCGGAAGTAATCAGTTCATTATTTTTGTTGAAGCGTTTTGAAATTCTTGACGTAAGAGAAACCTGGTTCAAATCCCACAATAAGTATCAGTTTCTTTAAGATCGTAGATACGAATGAAAGATTGGTATCCCGTTTTCAACTCTTGGTTGATTTTAAAAGGACGATGCTAACTAAGTACATAATTAATAGACCCAGAGGTCTATAATAATTCTAGTTTAGCACTAAGATATCAACTCAAGTTCAGCAGCTGGCTGTGTTCCCACTCTTCCTTTCCTGATCTCCCCCCATCTTCTGCTTCCAGACATTACGTTCCTAACTCGCGACATATACTACTTATGTCTACATAAGTAGCACACACCACAGTAGGACTGTTCGCATTAAGTGATTATCATAGTTTATAGGAAAGGACCAAATCATTTCATGATAACCACGATAGGATCCAATTGGTCAAAATAAATTTCATTATGTCTGTTCTTATAATCGGCTAATGATTATCTGGAACTAATTTAAACCAAGGAGGTTATACACTTGATTAGTACTGTACAAATCAAATAGTTAACTTGAACTGTGTTTGAGAGATGCTAATTTTCTCTTATACCACATCATCGCAATTTATGGTGGTTGATTTAAAATCATTTTCAGTGCCACAGATACATTCACTTCTTATCTTCTAAATTTTGTTTTTATCATCATTCCTTACTTTGCGTTTAGTATAGCTTACTTACCTTTGCATTAGCTTTCTTATATTTAGTTTTCCACTACGATTATTATTGTTATTTATCTTCCTTTGCTTTTTAACTTGTCAATACTCTGCATCTGATTGTATCGATATAAAATGAAATTATATACCTCCTACCAGGTTCCACATTTTATAGTACTGAAAAACAGCTAATTATTATCATACCTAAATCTATGTTTCATCGAAATCAAATTTTAGTATTAGGGGCACACTAGCTTACATGAGTTTAAGGGATGCAATATAATAATGTGTGTTAAGTTTTTCTATATTTGAGATGTCTTATGAATTTCGTCTCAGAAAACTGTTTAGATCACATAATCCCTTTGATCATAATGTTAACTATCGAATGCATAATGTTCTACAAAACCGGAAACTGAATAAGATGTAGTAGAAATATAGGATTGTAAAAATGTAAAAAAGGGCACTTTTCATGATTTCATATTACATTTTATAGATGATTCATAGATGATCCATATTTTTACCATAACGTTTTACTGATAAAACGCTCAAATCATCAAATAACATAAACTTCCTAATTTAAGCTATCGAATTACACTAAACGTTTTCGAAATAAAAAGATTTATCACAACAAGATAACGTATGACATACATCCTCACCTTTTAGCACAAATATTCCACCAGTTTTCTAGAGTTAATTACAGACGTTTATTCTTCTTTATATTCATAACTAGGTTTCACAATCTACTTTGGTTATGGATACTGGCACAGTAAGGAGAGAAAAAGAAAGAAGTAATTTATTGTGTGTATGATTTTTTTTCTGAGTATCTGCCAATAACCACCTGTTTTCACTTAGAAGAATACATTCATACATGGTAATTCTATCAGTTTCATATCAGAGTGATAAATATTACACTTTAAACAGAATCCATATCACCATAAAACGAATATTAAATCTAAATTCTTATTCTTCAATTAGATTTCGACCTATGTGTAAATTGAATTAAGAAAATTTAAATTTGTTAATCAACACAACTTATGGATTATTCGAACCAACCTGTTTGGTTTTTACCTAATCTGAAACATAAGTTTATTCGTATGCTTAAACCCAGTTTGATAAATTAAATGTATTGAAAATAAATACGAATAATGTTTCTTTTAAAAATAAACAATTCGATTTCATTACAGTTCTTTATTAATTAGTGTATTTCAGAAACTGAATTAATATATCATATCAAGATTATACATATATATACAGAGAGAGATAGAGTAAGAGTGCTGACTACATTTATTTTTTCGTAGTCCATATGGTTTTGTCATTACGATTGTCACAATTACTGTGATATGTTATTTTGTTCAATTAAGCTTTGCCCTAATATGGAGCACATCTAATTAAACCTAATATTCTTCGTTTGTACGTGTTCTGGTTTACTCTTTAGTAAATCGAATCCACGTGATTTAACCACAACACACCACTTTGAATAACATATTGTTTCTCAATTTTTTTCTGATCTTTCAACTTCGTTAGTGGTGTATTTTATGTGTTTAAAACGCCATTGACTTAATACTTCGTATTTCTAATATATAAAGCTGAATAACGCAATCGTAGATTATATACATATGCTTTATATTGTCCATTTTATCATCATGATTATGAGTTTGTAACTATAGTGTTTGAAGATGAAGTTATTGTACTGAACTATTTTCTCGAATGTTCTTTAGATATATAGTCGTTAATATTTATTTATTTTCATTTCCAGATAACATATAAGAAAACAAACCCATTTTCTTCAAGCAATTATTCATAATATGGAAGCATCTTATTAGTTCATAGAAATAATAGAGTATATTTTACATATTGTTTGATTATTTTAATTACTATTATTAATTTTCTTATACATTTGTATGAATTTTTCTATTCAATATTTGATTTTCTTATATAAAAAAACCTTACCAACAATTTGTTTTTATATATATTCAATGTTCAAATAACAAATGATTACTACCCTGCAGCAAATATATATATAAATCTTTAAAATACTGATGAAAACAAATGATTCTTTTTTTCAAAATATAATTTCTCATTTCATATTTATTCATTTACAAAGATTGATTTTCGAGTGCATCTGTGAAGAAAGAAATATGAGACAATGGAAGATTTAAATAACAGTTAGTTGAACAATCACTTTAACAGTCCTTAGTTTATTATTTAATTGTTATGTAAATCTGTAACTAAGTCGAAATTTGTATGGCCGGCTTTGAACCATGTATTCATCTGGCAACGTGGTAATATTAAATTACTGTTTTAAATGAGATAAATATAATGAGATTTAAATCAGTGCGCATAGAAACTAGGGTAATTTAAATACAGTGTCATCACTGCATAGTTTTTTTTTCATAATCATAATTATGAATAAATCCTAAATTATGCTGCCAGATCACATTTAGGCTTAACATTTTACTTGACATGTCGAGTTACAATTCGCTATTATACTTCAAAGATCAACATACAAAGTGATAAAAAAAGTATTCCTCCTTATAATTTCAGAACTCAATGAATATATCCGATAAGTCACAGTAAACAATTACGTTAAGTTTGCATTTTATATTTTGATGGGATCAAAATACATTATAAACAAATGACTACTGATCACTGGTAAATAATTTTATGTAGGCTAATTTCTGTCTTGGCGACAAAATAGTTAAACAAATTAACAATCAATCCCAAATGATGTTTGATGTGAAGTATAATAATGAAAGTCAAGTTGGATTGAGTCACGTTAGTTATTTTTATGATTCAGTGACTAAAATAATTGTGTAATAGTAAAAAAATTTCATAAAGTAACTGAGTTTAAAAATATTTTGGCTAATTTCTTATGATGTATTTTGTTAATTGTTCTAGTGTGACCAAGAAATTAATTTCGTGCTAGTATAACAAAGAATAAGAGCCAAATCTTTCTCATTTGTGTTATCCCCTTGATAGTAGTTTAGGAGTATGAATAACATAGTAAATGAACTACTATTACATTTCTTATCGTACTGATATTGATGTTCATTTACTATACTCATTACTTATTTGCTATACTATATTCAGAATATGTTGAAGTATTTTTCTGACTTTTGTTACCTGACAAATACCCTGTTATTAAATAAATTGGTAAAAGTAAACTATACAAGCGACCTAGAGCGACTTATCAGCTGATCAAATCCCAGAGTTTAGTTATAGAACAATTTTCAACAAAATTAGAACGAATAAACGATATGAACGTGATTAATGATTCTTTACACGTTGAATTATTGATATAAACGTGAAATAAACGAGTGCCTGCGTTTTATTAAGGCCTGTGCAATCGAATTGTTATTTATGGTTTAAACAGAGTCTAGAAACAGGATTGTATTAATGTACAATCTAAGAATCTAATAATTATATAATAAAAGAGGTATTAATTTCCCGTAGGATAGTTCTGACTACTCAACCTTCTACAAATCCTGTTCGATATGAAAATTATTCCTTATGAAAAATGATCAAGTCTTGACGTTAGGGTTAGAGCAACAAAATTTTTGGGATTTACATTAATCAGTACTTATACAGATAGTTGTTTGCATTTAAATCTCGAAGACTTTCAAGTTACTCCGAAAAATTCATAAACCCCTATTGATATACCATCTGAACTTTAAATCTATTTTTTTCTGAAATGCTAATAAATATTTTGTCATTTTAACAGTTGGTCAAGTTTTTTTCTATTACTTGTTCTTGTCATGACTATTAATTGTTATCATCAAAGTAGCTACATATTGGTGCTTTCTAACGATTTCTTGCACAGCCCATGATAATTTCTAAGTTATTCGTCAATGACCTTTGAATATTGATCAACGATCTAAGATTTGATGTGTCAAATCTTATCGGTTTAGCTCTGTAGTTTACTTTTACTATAAACCCTGAGCATTTTGACATAAACATAATGTTATCGCGATTTTATTGTTATCCTCTCAATTACTATTTAAATCCATCGTGATGATGTAGTTTTATTTATGTCACGGATTTATTTTTCTCATAAATTCATTTGTTTAATTTTGTTAAACACAAATAATTTCTAAATTTTATTCGACAAGTCAAAAATACTATGGTAAATGTTTTGAAATTAAAAAAGAATAAAAGTTACAAGTTGATCTTTCACTATTTCAATGTGTGTACTTCTACACATATAACCATTGGCGGGATCGATTACTTTATTCACAAGTATAAATATACCCTGTAATAAGAGTAATTTTATATTAGTTTTCAGGAGAACTAGACATCATCTTGATCTTTTACAGGCTAGACAGAAAAGCTCAATCCTTTGAGCCAACCACACAAGTATTAAGAACTTTAGTGAATCGTTTAACTCTATATGTCCATATAATTTATCTCATATCCACTAAATAAAATAGGGTAGTAGGTGAGACCGCCTGGATTGAAGCGATTAGGCCCAAACATGCCTAAAATGCATTATCTCATGTCGATATATTATTAGTTTGCCTACTTAGTTATTTTATCACATCTATGGAATTTTCATTTATTTCAACAACTTGATATTTGAATCAGGAATTCTGTGCCTTTCTGAGGATACACAATCTGCATATTGTTTGGAATGCGTTTATCTAAAATTAATACTTATCACATATAAAATGTAATTGCTCTTAAAACGTAGCTTTCATATCATACATGAGGCATATTTCTCTACATTTACATCTTAGAACATTTAAAACAAGTTCCAAATAACAAGTATGTAACAGTTAATTAGATAATGAAACGTAGTTGTTATTAAATTGCACGATATATGCATGGTCAGAACCTATATTCACATGATCTCGTTTTACAGACGCTTCAAATTACATATTATGATGTCATAGTAACAGTTTGTAAATTAGCTCTGTTTTTATAAAAACACTTGTCGTCTGAAAAAAATTTTCATGTACATTTCGCAGGCTGTGATTTCACCTTGAATCCGATTATGATAAGGAAGTGATTTCATTGATTTCATAAAATCGTCTAGTTGCAAACTACTTAGATTATTGGCACAATGAATTTAAATGAAAAACTAATTATTTGTGATAATTGATATGATTTTACTAATCAGTTATGTTGATTAAGTACTGAAATTCGTTATGTCAAAATTAACATAATGAGGTAATTTCTTAGTTTACATTACTGACTGACTTTATTTTAAACTAAAACTGGAAATAAAGGAGGATTGAATGGATATTTTTCCCCATTATTAGACATGTAAGCCGTTGAATACCTACTCGAAAGTCTAAAAGTTAAGTGTGTGCAGCGAGACCGAAGGTCCTGAGTTCGATCCCTGGTGGGATTATGGATGCTCACTATTAAATGTTAGTACTATATATCTACCCACTTCTTACCGGTTTTGATCGATTGTCCAACTAAGACTAATCTGTGGTGAAAACTAATAGACTCAAAAATCTCCACAGACGCCTATACTAATAATAAGGTTATAGATAAATAATATCACATTTTAAGCACACCTACTTGTAAGTAGTTCAAAAAGCAATCTCAATAAAATTGAATTTTATCCTGTCTTCTATGTTGAAAAGTATACTTTGTTAGGCTATAGTCTAATCATATAGAATATCTTTTTTTTACAAATGTGTGAATCAATAGAAATATATGTACAATTGAACCACGAAAACTTTATTAGAATATACTTTTACTTTATTTTCCTCCACAGATTTAATAAAAATCTGAAAAATGAACTTTATGAAATCAGAAAAATCGTTTAAGTTCGTACACATGAAATTGATTTTCTATGTTAGATTTTGTAAAAGAGTAGATTGATATTTTATAATTGTGTAAAAATAATAAAACATTTCATTATTAAGGTTGAGATAGAAAAAAAGATGAAGTTAACTGACGATATGACTATCATTATCTCAATCTGACAATTGTTTTAGATACAGGAATAATGAGTTTAAGAGAAAATTGTACTACTTAATTACACACGTGATAATACTTCTTGTCAAGTTTTATCTTCAAAATCTGGGCACGATAGTGGATGACTGCCGTGGAATTAACAGTAGGCTGATATCTATTTTCTTCCATCACTAGATCACTTACAATTAATATGATCAATAGTCGTACTACTACTAAAGACAATATTTCCTCCCAGTATCGGTTATCATTTTGTCATTCGCTGAACGTAAGATTAATCAAATAATAAATCAGGTAACGGTGGATAATTTTCATTATCAAGTGAATAAGACAAAATCTCAAAATCCTCTGTACTGAAAAATAAGTTTTGATATACTTGTATCAACACACCAGAAACGATTCATTCAGGTGCAGTATAGATATTTAATTTAATTTCATAGGAAATAGTGTATATGATCAACTTACATCCAATAATACTCCTTTACGAAATCATACTATCTTGTGACCTGAAGTCTTAGGAGGTTCACGTTTGGCTGCTCTTCACATAGAAATTATAATATCACATAACCAAGGAAAAGCAACTGCAAAAACGTCAATATTTTCTACGTTATTGACAGATTTATTAACTGGTCCTATAAACTTGAATAACAACTCTTGAAAATTTGATTTCTCTTTAATTATCAAGTCTATACTTATCACAAGCTCATTTATTCAACTCATCGTTACATTGATTATTTCCATTATCGAATTATTTATAGTAAGAGGATGTATTTTGATCATTTATGTATTAGCAGAAGTTATTGAACTCATAAATCAAAGAAGGCATATGGAAATC